TCCCGAAAATCTGGAAGAAGGGCCCCAGGGAATGCTCATGCCATTCCTGAGGTAGTGTGTTTGGTTTGGTTTCATTGTTAAGGGCGGTGAGAGAGGAACGATAAATATAATACATGCGCATGCATTTCAATGACATGTCTGATTTGGGTCGTTGGGCGGCCATCGCTTGGCAGCTGATCCCATCACTGGTTTCAAAGCGTGGTGCTCCGGGTTTCCATACAGTACTCTCGTCCTAGATTTAACACCCCACGCTTCTAATCCCATGGGCGTCGAAGCGCGGCGTGTTTTTCCCTCTCAGAATGTATCAGCATTCCTGCCGCGAAAACGTTGACTTTTGCCTCTATTCGGATACGCTTCTTGAAGCAAGCGTCGTAATACTTTCGAGACTGATTACTGGCTTAATAACCCATTTCCGGTGTATGGGAAATGACAGAGCCTATCGGAGACGGGATAGTTGCGTGTGTGCTATTTTTAGCGCGCCGCCAAGGACTCGGACTAAGCCTCTGCGCGTAGATTTTGTCCGACTCCCGCGGGCCAGCCAATTTACAGTAAACGTAACCCGACTTTTGTCTACGCAAAATGACAGAGCCCCGGAGCGAGGATAGTTGCGTCCTGTCCCGGTGAACCTCGGATTTCCACGAGCGTCGTCACTGCGTTCAGAGGGTCTGACTCTCTAGACTTACGCTATGTGGTGCCGTACCAGCCGAAAGTGCCGACGATCCGTGGCTAGACGACTAGCCACAGTGCCGCACATGACGAGGCATGGCGAGGGACCGAGCCATACCTAGCCATGAGCTAGCCATACCTCGACAGGGACATTTCGAGGTGCTGGCACCTGCGTAGACGCGCCTACAATGTGTTAATTCTAAGTGAGCTCAACGGACATCAACTGGGCATCTCGGCATGTGGCTAGCCGACTAGACTCACGTGAGTCTAGGGAAATATAGGTGACTCAGCCATATATACTGTACCATTTCGACCAAAGGTTCAGGTGACGGGTGACGGAGGATTGTGAACTGAACAATTTTGGCATAGGTGACGGTGACGGTGCAATTTTCAGGCCCCAAAAGGCTCAAAAACGTCAAAAAATCCACTCCGGCATTTGCCGGACTGCCATTTATGGTAATTTTCTCATGATTGCCGAGAAATGAACATCAAACCCAGTGAACAATTGAGGTGACGGGTGACATACCGTGAACCTTTGGTCGAAATGATACAGTAGACGGCGCCGCCGCCGCATCAGCGAACTACTCAGCCATGTATAGACGGCGCCGCCGCCCCATCAGCGGAACTAACTAGACGTCGGCCGGTTTGGGGACCCTCTGAACGCAGTGCGTGGCTGCCCGGTGCTGCCAAGTGACGTGTCGCGCGGCAAGTGCGTTTAAATATCGCGGCGAGGTCAACGATCCAGCATCGAAAATCTCGTCCCTCAAACACTCATGACTCCTCGCGAAAAGAAAATGCAATACGGTGCGTATGTCATGCGAGGTGATACACACTTATGTATTGTTTCTCAGTGCGACTTGGCACTTCGGGCCTCAAAATATCCAAAATCATTCTGGGCTGCATGTCCTACGGGGATCCCAACTGGTCCGGAAACTGGGTCCTCGGCTACGAGGAGGCATCCAAGCATATCAAAGCCGCGTTAGTACCCCCGCGCTCGCTCCTTCGATGCATCTTAGAATTTTCCCAGCTACGACGCAGGCATCAACGCATTCGACAGTGCCGACGTACGCCTTTTCTTCTTCCTCTTCTTCGTTTCAACTGAACTGATGGTGCTCAGGCGTATTCCAACGGTCTCTCGGAGGAAGTGCTCGGCCGCGCGATCAAGGAGCACAAACTGCCGCGCGACGAAATCGTGGTGATGACCAAGATCTTCCTCGCCGTGTCGAGCGACACCACAGAGGTCCTCTACGGGGACCCCGCTCTCGACGCCAAGGGCTACGTCAACCAGTACGGCCTCAGTCGCAAGGTATTCCGATTTGCCTGTGTTGATCATAATTACCACCCGAGTCCGGGGTAACTGACTTCGCCCGCCGGACAGCACATCTTCGACGCGGTGAAAAACAGCCTGCGACGCCTCGGACTCGAGTACATCGATGTCTTGCAATGTACGTTATATTCCACCCAGGGCGATTGCCCTCGCGAGTTAACGAACACCAGGCCACCGCTTTGATCCTGACACCCCAATTGCGGAGACGGTATTTCTTGGAACATCATCATCTACCGTCAACCCACTTATCGTGCACCCAGATGCACGCACTCCACGACGTCGTGAAAGCAGGGTACGCCCGCTACATCGGCATGTCTGCGTGCTATGCCTGGCAGTGTACGTCAATCCATCTCCTCTTCTTCACACATCCTAACCCTGCACCAGTCCACGCGATGCAAAGTATCACTATCCCTCCCGATTTATCAGGCGCCATGGCTAACTGAGATTTATTGAGACTACGCGATCGCCAACAACTTGACGCCATTCATCTCGATGCAGAACCAGTACTCGCTCGTGTACAGGGAGGAAGAGCGCGAGATGTTCCCCACGCTCAAGGTTCGTCATCCGTGAATCTGGAACGCTCTTTGCGTGACGTTTTTTCTCTCATGCAGCATTTGGGCGTCGGCGCTATCCCGTGGTCCCCCCTCGCCCGCGGCGCGCTCTCCCGCCCGCTTTCGCAGCAGTCGAAGCGCGCGGGGTCTGACTCGTGCGTCCATCTATTTTTTTCTCCGTCAGCACGGTACTAGTCGATAACATCCGGCACACAGGTTGTCGGCGAACTTTTACACCCAGTCCGCTGCCAGCCAAGAAATCGTGAACAGGCAAGCACACTATATCTTTAAACGCTCTGATCTGCGTGCTGATCCTCAGACCGCTGCGCGCAGAGTCGAAAAGATAGCGAAGAAGCGCGGCATTAGCATGGCCCAGGTCGGCGTAGCGTGGGTGATGAGCAAGGACGGTGCGATTTTCCATTGCCATTCACCATTAACTACTACCATGCTGATTCAACCAGGTGTATCCGCGCCCATTGTGGGAACCACGTCGCTCGACAACTTGGCGGATATCATCGGTATGTGGTCGGGCCATAACCGTGTTGACATGAACCTATGTTGAGAATTGATTCAGGCGCGATCGACGTCCGGCTGACGGAGGATGAGATCAAGTGCTTGGAGGAGCCGTATCAGCCTATGCCGATCTTTGGCCATTAGGAAGTGAGAGGATGGAGTTGCATGCGAGTTCAACACTCGCTACGGTTGCATAGGTTCTGATTTGAATATGACGAGAGAGCTTGTTTGCGTAGTTTATTAACTGAGAGATGTATTCAAATTTCCACCTTTGACGACAGGGCCTTGGTGCGTTTGGTTGCTTCTGACATTTAATCTACCGCCCTTGGTAGAAATACTGTGCCTAGACGATAAAATCTAACGACATTTAATCAATGTTCTCGAAGGCGGTCAAAAAAAGTTAAGATTAATGAATTTCAACAACGGCTATGTCTCGGATCGCATGACCTCTCGTTCTCCCCGCTCCAGATCTTATCCTCGCATTCCTCCTCCGCATCTGTAGTCCAGAGCGACATTTCCGCAATGGCCCTCAATCCCATCATCAGAGCTCCGGTGTCCGAGCTCAAAGGAAATATCCTGCCTGCGCTTTCATTAACCCGGATGATTGAAATGCAAGGCGAATACAAATGCGGCTCACCCAGACGGACAGCCTTTAATGCTTGGCAGTCGTCACGAATACGATGACCGTTTCAGTGTTGCTTTGCTGCGGTGTTCCGAGCGGGCGAAGCGAGAAAGTTGAACTTTGACAGTTGAGCGCTGAGCAACGCGGAGCGCTGATCTCCGCCTGATCTCCATGCGCGCGGGTGAGTTCAAAGCCTACTTTTGGGTGCGAGGGGTGCATCTTGTCCTATCGATCACTTGGCACCAACTCTCCGTGGATGGACCCACCAAGTAACCACGGTTATCTGCGGTACCCTGATGTTCCGGTCCATCTACCACCTCCATCTCCTGATGCTCAGCGGTCCCAGCAACCCCGTTGATTGCCCGCCCAGAGCGCTGACATGCGTGGTTTCCCTGGCGTAAATATGTGTCAGCCTTCACCGAGGTGTATAAAGCCGCTTGCTCATGTGTGAGCTCACTATTCTCTTCTCTCCTCCTCTTTTTTCCCTTCTTTCTTCACCCCCCTCCTTTTTCATTATGTTCTTCGCTGCGTCGATCGCACTCGTCTCCATGCTCGCCCTCTCCCAAATCACAGTCAACAGTGCACCTGTGGTTCGTCCACGTATAATACCATCCAGACACCGTCGCTGATGCCAAATGATCCCAGAGTCTCCGGAGTGTTGTACCGCAAGCCTGCACGCTCCCCTCGGGCGGGGGAACCTGCACCCCGCTTAACGGCACCTCATGCACCAACACCCCCGGGGTCCAGTCCCTCATCCTCAACCCGGACGCCGACTGTGCGGCCTTCCCGTGCGTACCCAGACCAGACATACCCGCTCGAGCTAATCATCCACGTGCCTCGCGTCTCTAGTCTTCCGGACTGCACCTTCAATTCCGGGCAGGTTGTGCTTGAGCAGTTTTCGGACGACTCGCAGAATCTTCAGGGTATCCAAAGCGTTCAGTGCTTTGAGAATGTCGGGACCGTGGACGGTTTCACGGCGGGGTCGGAAGCGGATCTCGAGAATGAGAAGATAGATGCTAAAGCTGGAATCATCGATAGCAGGTCCTTTGACTAAACACTTGCACGACATGCTGTGGATGATTATACTCGGGTGGTTGTTCACGTTCTGTAGATCTGGCAGAATTCAACAATATTCCCACCCAGCACATAACCACTTACCAACCGTGCACTAACCGACTGCCGTCAACGCAGGTCGATGTGCCAAGTAAGGTCAAAATCAAGTCGGACTGGGAAAATATGGAGAGCACCATCGTCATGGATGACGGGAAAATAAAGAGCTTAGCTTCAAGAATTCGGCCAAAAAGCAAGCGGACATTGTTAATGACTCGGACCCGAATCGAACGGGCGCCGTCTGCTGGATTCTGGCGTGAAAACAACCTATGTAATTTAAGCAGATGCGGACCGTCCACCACCGAGTCGGTAGCTGGCTTAGACATGCGCCGTATATATACAAGTCCGCTGCGTGGAATGGTAGAAGAGTTATGCGATATATACTTGACGCTGCAGAATTTCAGCGGTGATTGATGGACGTGAGTGATACAGGCTCGGAACTGAAAAAAAGGCCAAGCTTATCCCTTAATACCTCGGGCCCGAATCGAACGGGGTGACCTCTGCGTGCATGTGTGAAGAATGCGACACAGGCAGCAGGTGCGGACCATTCGCTACCGAGTCGTTGCAATAACTACTAGCGCAAGACGATGAGGGTAAGAGCCAAGAGACGGGAACCGGCAACTCGGCACGACAGGCGCCGGCACTGCCTCTGACACGTGCCAGGTTGCCGTTCGTTGGTCTTCTAGGGTTTCCTGGGTTGAGGAGCGCTACGACACTGCGTTCTCGAACTCCATGCATGTCTTTAAATTTTGTGTCGCCACTCCGATAATTTTAGAAGGCGCCTATGTATAGCGGTAGTCCCGGGAAATGCTGTTGGACATAGCGTCAATCAGGCCAGCGCCAATCATGTACAGCCAATGCCCTAACAGCTTCTTTTCTTCTGTTATTTACTTGACCCCCACCTTCTCCCCTCACCACATAATGGCGGAGCTGGCCCCAGGACTCGAAGCACCAACGCTCACACCCGGATCTGGCTTCACAGCACGGCATGAAAGCAGTCATCGCGAGGGGATGATGGACACGCGAAGGAGCACGACCGACTTCATGCAAAATCCGGAGAGCGGCGACGTTACGCAGGAGGAGCAAATGGAATTTCTGAACACCAGAGACGAGTGCGTATACCTACCAGCCTGAACAAGTATGAAGTCTGAACTGTGGTACCAAAGAGCCATTCGGAGACAGAACGAATATTACGGGCGTATCGAGAGTTACAAGGAGGCCTCATGGGTGAATCCCCTCAATAAATTGAAGAAGAAGAAGGAAGTCAGAAAGGCGAAACGCTTGACACGGCAATCGAACCATTCTCTCAGGACTTTGAACGAGGTGAGAAGCACATCCTGGCGGAGCGAATAATTTGGTTAACAATAACCCGAAGTCGATGTATTCGGGATCTGACACATCCTCCATCTCCGCGGAGTCGGGGTCTCCGCCTGGATCTAACCTAGCCGTCGACGATCTGCAAGATTGGAGGAATGGCGTAGATGAGGCTAGTGATTTGGAGGTTGCGGAGACAACACACAGTGCGGCGCGCTCACAGGAAGAGCCTATGGATGTGAAGGACGGAGAAGAGCAGGGCTGTAAGGACTAATCTGACCAAGTCAGCACTAGTGGTGCTGATTCACGTACTTGTAGCCCTAGTGGATTAAAATGAAATACCAATGAGGACGATTGAGGCCTCGGGTATGAGCACATAAGCGGGGAGGCTTCCCAGAGGAACTCTGAAAACACTCGGTGGTGGGCAGGAGAGAGCTAACAATCCAAAAATAATAATAATTCAAGCGTTTCATGACTCGGGCCCGAGTCGAACGGCTGTCTTCTGCGACACAACACGATTCACAATCCATGAGGAGCAGACACGGGCCTTCCGCCACCGAGTCGTTAAAAGCACTCTTTTTTACCTAGTGATTCGACCGAGCTGAAATTAGCTAAGTAAATGTCTTGAATCCCTCGCTGGGATCCTCGCAGGGCAGAGTCACGCACTCTAGAATTTCGATAGACCTGAACGGGAATACGATCAGAGGTACAGGGCTCAAAACTGAGGATGAGGGAAAAAGACAGGATCGTACGCGCTACTGACCAGGCCGGGCGCGACGTTGTTTCGAACCGTGCAAGATCGTGCGGACTCCATCCTAGGACCTAGACAGCAGATGCGGACCTTCACCAGCGAGTCGGTATCGAGCATCCAGCCTGAATGTATTTAGGTATACACAAGATTGACAAGCTCATCGCAAAGAAGTGGTTCAATAAAGTGACCCGGAGGTTCGTCGAGACGGCGGTTGACGGCATGCAAAATTGTGGACCGAAGTCGCCGAATCAGTGATTCATCAGGTCTTGGACCGATGGATTTTAGCATGATCCTGGAACAGGTATGAACAGCAATCGCGTTTCATTTTTTAAATAATTTTTGTAATACATCCTTCACCTTATCGGTCAAAATCGTAGGGCTGAAAGGGCGAGAACCAGAAGCCGCGGCGAACACATTGACACTAAGGAGAAGCTCAAAATGCGTTCGCGATTAGTGTCGATGTTGTTGGAGTAACAATGCTCGCCCCATAACACTGCCGGGTACCAGCTGCGCGCTGTACGCAGGTCGCCAACCACTGAAGTCATCAACAAATACGCAAATCCCGAGCTCAAGAAGTACGAAGTGCGTTCGCCATTCGGTTCAATGTTCAACTCACAGCTAACTATCCCTCCGGTGCACTGGTCTTCAAGCTCCGGGATCACCAGAGATTCGTCGGGGTTCACCGCTCGTCGTATAGGGAACAGCGACGGGAGCTTTGTCCGCTCATTTCTCGCAAAGGTCCTTCTCGCCCCTGGATGGTATCCCGTGATAAAGCAGGCGGGATTTACCGAAGAAAAGCTGCGGCGAATGGCAGGGATTGCCCGTCAGGACTTGGACAAGTTCTTTGCGACTACCTTCCCAGAAATGACTGCGGTTGGTAGGTTTCTCTTCGCTGAGGCAATCAAGAAGTTAGCTATTCCGCTATAGGTATTGTGTTGTCTTTGATTACTTACTTCCGTTGCGACGATGTACAGTAGCTCTAAATCGATGCCGCCTTGTTCTCGCTTGCGCCGTGTTTGAACCCATTATTGCCAGAGAATACAATAGGAAATAAGGATTAGTATGCAAATACTGTAGGTGGATCATACCTTTGTCAGCACATGCGGGACGTACAGAATGATTGAAATTTGAGCTCCTCTGCGATAAAAATGTTGTCCGCGAGAACTGAGGAGAACGGTTCTTAGATGGAGGGAGAGGCTCTGATCCCTACATTGACTAAAGAAAGTCGGCCAAGAGGCAAAAAAAAAATACACAGAGCGAATTACCTGCGAGTTCTGGAATCGTGAAGTCGTCGTTGTTAAGCCGATCGTGATGGGGGGAGGGGGAGGGGGGGTATATTATACTCACGTGGTCCAAATATCTGAACGACGAGTTTACCGAGACAAACAAGTAGTAATGTACGGGTGGTTATCCTTACATAAAACTACAAGACGCCGACAGAGCACACATCTACTTCAATCATTCCAATAATATCAGTGCCCTAAGTAAACATAGTTCGAGAGGAGCAGAAGAGCAAGTGGCTGCCAAATTTCTCTGCAAAAGACCGACCGACTAGGAAAGGATAAAAGAAGGGAATCGGTTGACGTCCCAGGAACCATCAGATAGCCGCCTGCGGAAGCGCTAAGGCGCTTGAATTCTGAATACTTGACACCATGCAGATCCCCACCAACGAGGTCGCTGGCAGATGGCAGATGTAAACATTCTTGCCGAAATACACTGCGTGGACAACAGCATCATCACTCTACCGCCGAGCAGATGAAAGTTTACCTGGCGGTTGTTTTCGTCAGTTCCCTTGCAACTCCTGTGCATTCTTCATTCAGCTCATCACAAAGTATTTTGTCTCAGTGCGGGCCAAAGTGGTTAGTACCTGGCTAGAGTGAACGGAAATCGACGTCCCACCCAGATCTCCAGTTGTATCAAGCGAAAATAATCCCAATGGATGAAACGCCGTCATAAAATGACGGAGACTTAATACTTGCCGATCCACTGAGAAAAATGGCCTGTACGGCTGTAGGTATTGAATGAATCTAATCAGATCCTTGGAATAATACAGCCAGAGAGGTAGCGCTACAGATTGACGCCAGCGGAAAATGATAAAGACAGATGTTTATCAGAGGGCCTGTATGACTGCAATTCGACGTTGTCATCCTATTTCTGGTTCGTGGGAGCGCGAGGTAATTGAGTGCGAAGCCACGTAACGATCGTCGGGATCACGGTAGTAGCACATAGTGGCCCCGGGGCACGTTTAAATTTGGTTGATTCATGTCAATTCGACTGCCGCCATCCTGCTAAACACTTCCAGCCTCCAGTTCCGGCCGTGCCTCCTACTATCCATCTAAAAAATCCGGGTCCTAAATTCGAAAGTAGCATCCATCGAGAGTTTCTCTCAATCCGCAGATTTTCTCCAGGAATATCATCTCCAGTGATAAATAGCCTTCTGACAAGCCTCAAGACGTTGACAGAGATGCCTGATGCGCTGCGACCATTGTCGCATCTGCCAAAGAAGCTCGTTCAGATGAAACATGGGAGAGATACATTATTAGCTTTGAATATAGGCCTATAAAAACCGACCCAGCACTGGTGCAAGACATCCAGATCATGAAGTTTTCTCTCATCTGCTTTTCCTCTGTCCTCGCAGCAATCCTCGCCTCCCAAAGCGTCAGGGCGGTCGATACATTCAACTGTTCCATGAACGCCAATGTGAACAGTAGAGCCTGCGCTGATGTTAGCTGTGCCATAACTGGACAATACCTAGCTGGTCAAGTACGCCGCTGCACAAAGTGATTCCTATGTCATGCTAATGAACAACTCCAGATTGTTGCCTTCGATTGCGTGGATGCTGGCCTCCAGTCTGTGAACGGTAGCGCGTATGTCTATGTTCCTCAATGACGGAGTCGTCATTAATGTCTTTTTGAAGTTGGTGGGCCCGAGATCCTTTGAAGGATTGGGTCCCAGTAGGTGATATGCTGGGTGTCGATGGGGAGTCTTGCGACAGTAAGTTAGCCCACGCCCTGTAGGCCCCATAGCTCACGTTGGACAGCTAATCTCGGTCTTTGTGCAAGCTTGCCCTCGTCTGCACCGGTGCCTTCGGGTCCGACGTTTGTGCCATTCTCGGGGAGCAGCACGGCAACGAGCACCGGAAAGACCTCGGCCACATCTTCGGCCCCGCCAAAATCCACGCCATCGTCGACGCCGGTGTCCAGTGACACGCCTTCATCTGCCTCGTCCTCCAGCACAGGAGTC